AATTATGACGGCTCGCCCACAACGCCAGGGGCCAATGCACAATTTATGACAAAACGTAATGGAGTCACTAAGGTGACCGTCTTAGACAGGTATTATTGCTTAGTATGATAGGGGTTGTATGTTAAATTATGGTGGCCGCGGCCGCGTTGGACAGGTGCCCGTTTTACACAGTTAAATTATATAGAAAAAACGCAAGGGGGGAATGGAAAGTGGCCGTTTGTACAGGTGGCCGTCTTATAGAGGTGGTCGTCAGGGCAGGTTCGACTGTATATATAATATAAGGCTCTTTTCGTCTATGCAGACGGTCAATTAGGCTTAAAATGGTCTCAAGGTTGTCTTCATGCAGCTTCTTTCATGGCTAATTCTTTCTATGTTTAGAGCGCAGAAGTCTGTCGTAGTGCTGGCATGTCAGTGAGGTGGATCGAAGCTCTGTATTTCCGCTGTTTTCCTTTCGTTGTTGGCGCTTCTCAGCCTGGTTGTTTCTGAGGCTACTCTCTAACATACTAGTTCCTTTCTTTATCGCGCCTAAATTGAGGTGCATAAACACTGGTGGTCAACATTGGTAGAATGGACATGTATTTAATATTAGATGGAACATAATTGTCTCTGAACAGCATCTTCTGATGATATCATTTTCGGGGAAATTGAAAAACAGATCAGTCACAAATACCACACGAAACCTGGACTTAACATTACATGGGCTCATTGTGTTTAGGACCTATTGGCCTAGTGTAGAGGACGAAACCTTTTAGCACATGGACTGTGTTAGTTAGATTTTGAACATAATCATCTGTCAATGAGGAACACAAGCCACGAAACTTTTGGGTGGTCTGGGGTGGAATGAATAAAACGACCCTCGTGAGAATCATGGATTAGTTTAGTGGACTACATCGCGCAAGTGCTGGAATGGTAGGTCTTATCCTTATTTTGACATGGTGTCATTCAAGTAGACATCTCCTCCCATAGCAAAGCACTTTCTCTCAGGGTCAATGCCAGCAAACAATTCTACGGCTAGCAAATCATAATATTAACGTTGGAATGATCGTTAGTAAATAGCCGCCATATAAACCCTACTGGTATTTGAAGTCCCATGAAACAGCAGGAGAAGAAAAGCTATTTTACTCCCACTTCTGGCCCATTGTTTGTAACTCTCTGAGACATTTGGTATGAAATGACATATAATTATGTCCAATTTTTAAAAGAGTCGATGCCCTAATGGTTCGTGCTCTACACAAAACCAATAGCTCTCAAACAAAATAACAATGAGCACTTTTAGTGTTAAGTCCAAGTCCTATGTGATATTTGTGATTGCTCTGTTTTCTGTTTTGTTTGAAGCTATCGTAATAAAATATTGTAATAATATATTGTTTATTGCAAAGACAAAACTTTCCATTTCTTGGATATGTAATGCATGTCCATTCTGTCAATACTGATGCTCATCAATACATGAGCGAAGACAATTTCTTTGATTTCGCACAATTTTGCCAAGCCTGAATTTTTAAGGTCAATTTTGAGTGACCGTATCTTGGGCGTCTCTTAACATAGAAGAAATATTAAAGTTTCAAATGAATAAGAATTAATTCAGCTTTAAACTGATATGCTGCATGAGTGGGTAGTACATGACTTAAGCACATTGATTGGATTCTTACATTTTCAAGTTTCTTTTGGATGCTACTACAATATATGTGTGAGTGTGTGTGTGTGTGTGTGTGTGTATGTGTTACTATTCATATTTGTGTCGGGTCAATTTATTTTGAAAAGTACGTTTGTATGTAAAGCATGATACATTATAATAATTATTATACTTTCTTTAAAAAGACAGTAAACAACTCTATCAAGCAGCATATCAAAATTCCTTCACATCTAATTATAGGTTTATTTCATATTATTAGGGTCCCCTATACAAAGCGTATGTACATTGAGGTCTTGGGTTTTCTCTTTCTTTTTAAAATTTCTTTGGGTTTTATTCATAAATATCGACTGACTGCAGGCCCGACAACCCCCCCCTGCCCCCCCCCTGCCCCCCCCCCCCCAATAATTTTTTTTAAAAAATTTAAATTAAAAAATCAAAAACTCAACAACAGTATTTAAGCACGGATGAATTTGGTTGGGATTATTTCCACTGGTGTGTGATAACATCTTGAGTGTAAAGACAAAGTGTGGGCTTCGTTTTCTTCTTCTTTAATTAATTCTTATTTTTGTGAATGTTTTTCAAGTGGCGTGAGGTTGTTAGCTAGAGGTGTGAATTTAGTTGGCTTGGACAATCATTGCTTTATTGAGTGGATTCAATCACACATTTATGTAATAAGGATGGAATACTAGTTTCGAAATAACTTGAAATAGGTTCCAGCATAAACAAACAATATCGCATTTACAGAGCTCCAAACGTCTTTTATTTTTTTACCAGATTCATAATTGTCGGGATTACTAAATAAAGAGACACAGTGGGTGGGTTTTGGTGGGGTATTTTTCCATACTTTATTAAGCTTTCCTGAGAGTGCACAATTGACATGTTTGATATTAGGACGTAGATCAACGCTTACCGACTGGTGCGGTGTCGCACAGTAGTGGACGAGTTGAGCTAGCTCATTTTGATGGGCAGTGGGGATTGCCCAGGTAGTAAGGGGTTGTTTCATGCCCCGCTGGGAAATACATCGTCACCTTCATTTACAACTGTCGTATGACAAAATATGAGGTCTTCAGAAAAAGTACCTAGAAACTGTTTTGTTACACCCATGACAGTGTCTCAGTTCAAAAAATTTAGTTCGTCAAAATCGTTCATCATTTTAAGAAGAGGAAAGAGAAGAGGACCAATCAATACGCCTCCTCAAACTCTAAAACATAGATCTACTTGATTTCTCGGTTTTATGAAATGTTAATAGACTACAGTGTTGAATGACGGCGGTGACGTGTAAGTGGGCGGGACGAAACTGTGTCCTTGTTGAAGTGTCACATATGGGCCGCGGCAATAACAAGGTTAGCAATCACTGCAGCCGGCTATAGTATCTTGGTACCGGCATATACACTGTGGCGGTTGGGCTCTTTACTGTTTCACGAATAAGACTTAGGTTCGTTTCCTTAGTGGGGAAAATTCTACCTAGTATCTCGGCCTTTGCTGGGACGTTGAATCCTCTCAGCTAGGGTTGACTCTGACCGGCAGGGTGGGCAAAAGCTTCTTAAATTATATCAATTGTGTTGATGGGGATGTGAAACATCTAGACTAAACAAAATACATGTAATATCCGAAGAGGCTCACTCTAATACTCAACAAGCTTCGAGGGAACTTTGAGATAGACCAGGCTCTATTGGAGGTAGGCCATGACTAATTTCCTGCTTTGAAAAGCACACCAACGTTAATCTTTAGATTACAGAAGCGGCATCTACTCTGAAAAGGGGGGGAGTTGTCCCTTTGGAACGAAAATATATTCTATATCATGCTTTTTGTTGAAATGAGTAAAAGCCTGGGTTAGTACTGGTGGACAGTGTCGAGGCAGCCTGCTTCCTGAATACTTAAATGAGTCGATAAACTTTTATCCAATTTTGACAATTTCAGAAAGTGAAACGATAAAAAATCAAAAAGAAAAAATAAACATTTACATTGGAAGCAACAACATGAAAGACACGCAGCTTATGATAAACTAAATACAGATTCCAGCCGATACAAATTATGTCAATGTGCCAGGGTGAGTCAAAAAGTAATACAAGTTCGTTTATAACTTAAAGAAAAAAATAACACATTTGCAACTTACATATCTCTAATTAAAGGGGAGCATCTGAGGATCAGATTTTTATTTCTCAACCTAGTCTCCGTTTCGATCAATAGCCACTGTCCACATTTTACAACGTCCACATAGGCCAGCTTTGTAAAACTGAGCAGGTTGGTCGTAGGGGTACAGCAGTCTTGATTTCTCCATCGTTTCCATAATGTTGACCTCTCAACGGTTTTTTTCTAGGACCGAAAAGGTGGAAGTCTAAAGGAGCAAAATCAGGAGAATAAGTTTGGTGTGGCAGTGTTTTCCACATATACGGGGCGATTGCCTCCCTTGTCCTGGTACTCGAATGCAGGTGGGCATTGTCATGGTGAAAAAACATTCATTCTATGTTCAAATTAATTGCGTCTGGCTTGTCTAATTCTCGCTTTTAGTGGTTTCAATCTTTCAAAGTAGGGTTCAGAATTGACTATTGTTCCTTGTGGTAAAAATAAACTTGTGAGAAGCACGACTGACATGATTTTTCCCGTTGTCTCCTCTTCTAAAACCAGAAATTCAATATCTGCTCTTTACCTTTGACAGACCTCAAAGAGGGTAGCCATTTTGATCTGACGTCATTCGGACCAAAATTAAAGAAACTTCAATTTTAACAATTTGTGTTCAAAAGTACTTGCGCAAGTACTTGTTTGCTGAATTTCATTAAATTTGATTTTAAAATGTGCAAAAGAGAGCAACTTGCATTACTTTTTGACTCCCCCTCATACATAATTCCTAGAAATCTGCTAGAGGTGCATTGCGAATTGTGCCAGTTTATTTCTAAGACGTTTAACAGTAACAAGTTTCTGAGCGACCACATATGGTGGCTTGGTACCATAGCAAGCACAATCATTCTTTGTTTTAGAAATTGTACACATCGACTCATGTGGGTGATTACATCACAACTTTGTCGGTGATTCTTTCTCAGAGATTGGATGAAAATTAAATAAACCTATTTGTTACTTGACATGGCACCTCCCAGCCCATGAAGCGGCTGTCAGCTGACGGTAAAAACCACCCATAGAATGGTGACGTTTCACACACAAAGGTTTCAATCTCAGATGACACTAGATAAGACTGTGAATAACATCGTGACTGCAGAAGCCAGCAACAGAAGGAGGAGATGAGGGGACAACACGCGACCTGTGGAATAAGAATAAGAATAAGAATAAAAATAGGAATAAGAATAAGAATAAAAATAGGAATGTCGGATTAAACGAGACTAAGTTCAAGAAATGATAATTTAATCATTAAGAATTGTGGAAGAATCTGGTAGCAAAACCTGCAAGGGTTCCCTACAGCTCGAATAAGTCTGGCCCCACGTCGTCTTTGAGAAAAGCAATTGACACGAATGTTCCTATTTAGTTGGATCTTATCAGAAATTGATATTACATTCTGAGGTTCAGTCTCTTGAATAACATTACAGTGCTGCTAGTGGCATAAATCAACGACGACGCGCTGTTCTGAGGCTTTTCAAACCATCAGAAGGACAACTTCGTTATCCATACTCATTTTTCAGTTCTGTTTTCTTTATTTGAAACTTTAGGAGGCATGCAGCAAAGTACATACTGTGAAAGATGCAATTTCCTGTTTCTGATTTGAGTAAAAATGGATCAACATATGCCTCTAAATTGCCCTTGGTCTGCTCCTGATCGGACATATGAGTCTGCAACGTCCTCAAAGATTTAAACCTATAAGATATCGTACATTTTTTCCCAGGCTAGGTATACCATAAATGTTTATCATCAATGTACACCATCAGCGTATACCATCAACGTATACCATCAATGTATACGATCAACATATAACCATCAACGTATACCATCTATGTGTACCATCAACGTACACCGTCAAGGAGACACTCACCTGCGACGTTGTAGCATTCCTGTAAGCTCATGACACATCCGGCGTACTCTGGATCCTCGTCACTGAAGTCGGAGCAGTGAGGCTTACAGTCACACTTCTCGATGATGTTGATGCACTGGACGCCGTTCTTGCAGTCAAATAGACCGCGTAGGTCCTGGCAGGAGCCACCCTGAGGAGACGAAGTGTTGTTGAGAAAGATAAACTGTATGGTAAAGATAGAAAGGCAATAGGGAAGGACGAGAGTGGACGGAGAGGGGGGAGACAATGTGTGTGCGTGTGTGTGTGAGTGTGTGTGTGTGTGTGTGTGTGTGTGTGTGTGAGTGTGTGTGTGTTCGTTCGTGCGTGTGTGTACGTGCGTGTATATGCGTGCGTGTGTGTGTGTGCGTGTGTGTTTGTTTGTG